CAGATAATACGCCGTCATCCTGATTGGTGACATTAAATGTCATGTCGGAGTCACAATCCAAGGCTGTCGCTATGTTAAGGCTGTTTTTATGGGTTCTGTTGGTTTTTCCTAAAAACCTGTCAGACAGCAGGTTCAGGATTGTTAAGGGTCGATTATCAGGTCACGACTGTACTTTCAGATAAGTATCAGAGGTCAGCATCATAAATACTCTGTGTAGTAAAGTAACGCTTGGTAGTTATCAAATATGGACACAGCCAAATCAGAGCATCAAACTCATAGTTATTAATAGTCTGTGAAGACAAAGGCACTGATCAGATCTGATTAGCATCCCAGCGTGTCTGAGTGTTGGTCTGAGCTGCAGTACGAGTGTAAACCCTTAAAAACCTCTCAGTGTGAGTGCTAACCATCAGTTCCTCATCTGAAACTTCACTCGGCCGTCTGCCAAGAAAACAGAAAACCAAATGTTTGCATGTTGCACAGAGCATTAGCAGCAGCAGACGTGAGACAGACTGCATCATGCTAGACGGGAATGTGTTGCTATGCATACTGGAGCAAAGCAGGAACAGGATTAGGAGCTTTGTTTCACAGTTATTGGATTTTGGCTCTGTGGGAATGGAATTATCCAAACAGCGAGAGGAGAGCAAACACTGAACCGTTCCTGTTAATGTGGAAAACATGACTCAGAGTAAACACGTATGATGCATTAGCAGAAGACTGGTGTGGAAGTTCATATCGTCCCAGTCAATTACCGTTAAGTGTCCTGAATCTAAGAAGTAATGAATCATTGAGCGATTCAGCAGTTTCTCACCTCATTTCAACAAACACATCTGCCAGTACATTCAAATTTAATTCCTCGCTGAGTCAAGACTTCTGCACTCAAACAAACCAAAATTTCCTTTAATTTTTAAGCACTGTGGGGCCGAGCTAAAAGTTTAGAGATGACAAGAGCTGTGGGGAGAGGAGTCGACATGCAGCTCAGGTCTGCTGCCAGACTTATAAAGCAGACCTATGAATGACATCCAGCAGTAAATACACACATCACTCACATCCCTGCATGTGTACGTTGGGCTTTTCCTGAAATATTTAAGGATTTACAGTTTTTATGTATTTTTTTTAATTCAATTTATTCAACAAGTGTGACATTTATTCTGGTATAAAATCAACCAGTTTGCCTCAGAGGGAATGAAACTGAACTAACAGATCAGCCAGGTGATCAAACCTTTAGTTCACCGTTTAAGATTCCAGATTTGAATTCACAGTGAGACCAAACCAGCTGCATGGCATCAAGGTGCAAACAAAGACACCAACAACATGGAAACGACAAATACAACATCCATAGTGTCTGAATTAAAAGGTTTCCTCAAGCAAAAAGCACACATTTGTTTAAAAAGTCTAGAGTTCATACATTAAATACACCAAGTTTCCCTTAAAGTCCAAATCTTTGATGCACATAATTCACCTCTGATAACTCTGTCCTTCATTTTCCAGTTCTTATGCAGGTTGTTCCAGGCAGCACGGCTGCATACCTAAACATCTTTCTACCCACTTCAGTGGGCACCACGGAGATGAATCCATTGACCTCTGATCATACCGAGAGCTATAAACTGGAATCTCATTATGATCTGAGGTCAGTGGACTCCTGTGGGGATCTGGGAGAAGTAAATGTCTTATTCCTCTGCACCTGCTGTACCCGGAGTGCTCATGAGCAAAGCACAAAATGCCCGAACTGCTTTAATGGAGCTGCTCAGCGACAGCAGAGGACTTACTGCTGAAGTGTCTGTGCAGCTCCCAGGGGGTGACTGAGTGCAACTTCCTTAACGTGATGCAGAGTGCTGATGGGTTTTAAGGAAATGTCAGCCTCGCTCTTACTAATGAGCTGTCAGAGTGTGTGCGCTGGAACTGACCTGTATCTCCTCGTAGGCCTCGTCGATGGTGGTCACTTGGTGCTGCTCGTGTAGCGCCGGCTCGTCACAGAAGAAGCACACCAGACTTTTGTCAGTGAGGCAGAAGAGCTTGACCTTCTCGTGGTCCTTGCAGGGGTAGGAGCTCCTCTGGGCGTTAAGGATGGCGTCCAACGGGAAGGCCGAGTAGCGCTCCACAATGTTAGACAACTTGAGACTCGGCGAAAGGAGCGGGTCGGTGAAGGTCCTCCGGCACTCGGGACAGTCCCGCGTTCCGTGAGGCTCCTGCCTGCTCCAGTGCTCGGTGATGCACTTTCTGCAGAAGTAGTGCTCGCAGCCGAAGCTGACGGGGTCCTGGTAGATGCTGAGGCAGATGGAACAGAGGAGCTCGTCCTTCAGACAGCAAGCCATTTGCAAAAACAGAGACTGAGCGGCATCTAAGAGGGCAACGTTCTGGAGCTGGGTACACGTGGTTAATCAGTCAGAGAGGGGCTCGCTGCATGTGGGATCGATCAACGAGAGGAGTCTTGGGACTTCACGAGATTGTCTCTGTTGATAAAACAGCAAACACCAGGCAATGAGCAACAACAACACGGCAGAGAGGAGCATGCTCGAATACATTTATGACAAAGACGCAGCTCTTCCTTTCAGTCACACATTAACAAAATGGGCAATGAGAAGCTATTTAATATTTAATCCTACTCATGAGAGCTTCCAGTGAGCTGTCAGGGCTCATTTTACCTGCTTACCTTCGGATGAACACGGGTCTGAAAGTACAGCTGCAACAGTCAGTTGAGCAGAATAGAAAATGTTTGGATCGACTGCAGAAATGTGCAAAAACATCGCAAGCTGCAGCTCCACAGACACATGGGTTTTCAACTTTTCATATATATATATCTTAGTGTTATGGACTCTTGCAATCTGAACAAGACCAAACAATTAATTACAACTGAGAAAATAACCAGTAGGGGTTATTTCTCGGGTTCCATCATTGAAATTGCTTTTTGCACACTTCTGTTGTACTGGTTTTGTTGCACATCACTATTTGCACTCCACTCCACACAGAACTATTCCTGAAATATGACACTTATTGTACATTTTGCATTAGATTTTCTTATTGTTTTTTTTTTCTTATTGTTTATTTCTGCCTATTTATCGGTGTCCATGGTGGCGGTGATTCTATCTATCTATCTATCTATCTATCTATCTGGTGAATATTTTATTTTATCTGAATGTACTTTCACTTACAGATTGTGAATCAAATCCCCTTGAAAACAGCTACTGATGGACAGAATAGTCCCCTTTATTAATTTAACTCCATTATAATGTCATTTAATTCGGCTGCAACTTGGTTTCACTTTAGTCGCTTCCTCCTTACCTGAGGAAACACCTGAGCGTAATATAAAGGCTGTAAATGAATCACACATCCCTCTGAGGAGGTGTTGGAGCTCCTACGGACTGTCTGCACCAACCAACAGGCGAACACCTGCAGCACCACCTCCACCACCTCCACCTCCTCCTCCCGGTGCTCAGGAGCTCCCCGTTCAATTCCCCCATGAAGCAGCTTTCAGCAGCCCGGTCGGAGCTCCTTCCTCCTCCTCCTCCTCCTCTCCCACCACCCACCAGGCTAACACATGAGCACACACACACCGGCTCCTCCACCGGGCTCGCTGGCCGGACTTGTAAACACAAGCGACGAGCAGCGGAGGGAAGATGAGCGGAGGTAGGCGCACAAAAGAGGCGTAACACTCATTAAATAACCCACGCATGGAAAAGGTGTGTACGGGGGTGGCGTGCGAGAGGCACAGGCAACTTAACGTGACTGTACTTTAAAGCAGACGTGGATGAAAACCGAGTGAAAAACGGCCGAACTCACCGGCTTCCTGTCGGCGACATCAGCGGCTCCGACGCGAGTGTCTTCCAGGAAGGAGAGCGGCACACAGCGGCAACAGGCGCGACCAACCGCGCCCAGGGACGGGGGGGATTTCTATGGTGTGGTTTTACGAGATAAACGCAATTCGTACATGAACACAACACAGAAGCAAATAGGAGCCGTTTTAATCGTGGACGTACGCGATTTCACGGGAGAGTGTTAGTGGAGAAATGTGACGGTGTAAAGGTGAACACCCCTCTGATGTAGCGGAGTGGTTCAGTCCGCCGCTCTGCTCCGCTGCTCGGCTACAACAAACAACAAAACACACGGAAATGAGCGCAATTCTTGTCCTACGTTGTTGAACTAAAACATTAAATTTTCCAGTTAAAGTGGCTGCCACCGCTCAGAGGAGACGTTTTAAGGGCAGAGAGAGAGAGTGGCCGGCTGCAGTGTCCGCCTCTGACCAGCAGGGGGCAGGAGCGTCCACTGAAAACACAACAAAAGAACCAGCCCAGTGTTCCCAGTGCAGGTGGTGGAGTGGAAGGTACACGTCTGTGGCATCAGTCCATCCAGCTCATCACCAGCTCATGGGACACTGGATAGTCTCAGTGCTCTAAAGGGGAATTCAACAGCTCGTGTCAGGTCAGAGCATCCACCATGAGGGGCAGTCCAGCTGGTCCAGGGAAGGAAGGGAAATAACCCTCATAAGGTCACAGAGCCGCGGTGGCCAGGGTGACACACATCAGGGGTTTTGAAAGGAGAAGTGGACATTTAAGATGTATATACCAGGAAAGTCCGCATACGTACTGACTCTGACAGTGTTTTATTGTTGTTGTTTGTTTACCTGTGTCATGTGAGTCCCACAAACCAACTGATGTGTAAACCAACCTGATGGATGATGGCAGACCCGCCATTGTTTATTATTGTGTTGTCTACATATGTTAAACCAGTGTTATGTGATTCAACAGAACTGAGATTATTTGAGCTACTCACAAGTATTTCAGTTTTCTGCTCCTTCATTTTAACTCAATCCATCCATCATCTCTACACCTTAATCCTCACCAGGGTCATGGGGGGCGGAGCCTATCCCAGCTGACTCAGGGTGAAGGCAGGTTCACCTGGACAGGTAACCAGTCTATCACAGGGCTACACTTAGAGACAGACAACCAAGCACACTCACATTCACACCTACGGACAATTTACAATCACCAATTAACCTCAGCATGTTTGTGGACTGTGGGAGGAAGCCGGAGAACCCGGAGAGAACCCACGCTGCACGGGGAGAACATGGAGACTCCACGCAGGAAGATCCCGGGTGTCCTCACCGGGACGCCAACCGGAGACCTTCTAGCTGTGAGGCGATGATGCTAACCACCGAGTCACCTGCAGCACAAAAGGAAATAACTTCTGCTCCACTCAGTGCATTGATATGAATGTATGTAAAGTGCCCACAAGTATAAAGTAGTTAAAGCAGCTGTTGCCATGGCAGTTTAAATGCTCTTTGCACAGTTTTGGTAATACAGTGTAGTTACAGTAACAAGGATTTAACACACACATTGCTGTCAGCTGCCTGATGGGTGACTTTACTTTGACTATTACTGCACTGTTACTTCTAACACGTCTGTCCCTTTAAAGGAAACTATGATTGCAGCACCTGTAATAGAGTAGTCTTTATATTTTACATAACAAAAGGTTAAACTAACCTCAGTGTGTTTCATTCATCAGGTTCTTTCATAAAATGTCAGATAAGATGGTATTTGATCCACAGAAAGACATTTAGTAAAGTTCAGAACAAATGTTTCTGCTAAAATAAATAAATCAGGTTGAACATACCCCTGAGTACATGGACGAGTCCTCGTGGTCCCTCTTTGAACCCATGTGATGAACTGTGGTTACTCTGCGAGGAGCGTCGTATGAAGAGTCTTTGAGTTTAAACTGCCGCTTTAAATGACTTTGAAACTGGTTAATTGAAAGCAGCTGCAAAAAAATCTCAGCGATAAAGTGAAAATCGTTCGTTTGTATAATTCATCAGATCAGCGAAAAACTTCTCCACTTGGGTGTTTAGTCAGAAAGTTCAAAACTGGAGGTGACTCGTGACTGAGAACAGGTGGTGCGCAGGCAGACCTACACAGCTCAGCAGCAGATTGGACTGCATAATTGTGAGCAAAATCTGGAAAAAACAGGCGTGAAACAGTGGCTTCGGAGATCAATGAGCATTACGGGGTACAACTCAGTCCACAGACCATTCACAGCAGGATCAAGGCGTGTGGGTACAAAGGCAGAGCGACACTCAGAGCTCAAAGCAGAGGACAGCTTGGACTAAATGTGCAAACAAACATGCACAGAGAGGCAGCGGCTTTTGGAGACGTGCAGCATTTTAGAAAGAGTCCAAATTCAATTTACATGGATTTGATGGTAGAAATGTTGTGTTGAAAGCTAGTAGAATAACCAACCAGGTGGAGGTGGGACTGTCAACGTCTGACAGGGTTTTATTTTACAGTGATGCAGATGAACTCGTTTTATTGAAGGAATGAGGAACTCAGACGGTGCAAAAGTGCAGCTTTGGTGCCCAAATGCTTTTTAGGGCCACTGTGGAGAACATGTAATGTAAATAAGATGCTGTATGTCCGTAATCCTTCCACACAAAATGCACATGGTTTGTTAATTGTATGCAACTTGTAAATTTAAAATCAAATATACAGATTTCCCATTTTACAGCAGCAGCTGTATATGTTTTATATGGGCCTAGCTGGAGGTTGAAATGGTTGCAGACTACGAGCTATAATTTACATTCCCTTTTATTTTCTTATTGTTTGGTAATCACTTATATTTACATCTTTATTTACAGCATTCTATGTACACATATAAACACATGAAGTAACAGTTAATGACTCTGATATGGGACCAGAAGAGCCTTCCTTGTGCATTTTGTTAGCTTGCCAGATTGTTTTCCATGTCGTGCTATGACAAAGGTTTTTCAGTCAGTTTTTCCTGCAGCAGACTCCTCATATACTGTAGCTTTCACTCTCCTGCACAGACATCACCGACTGCTTGCCAGCTTCCTGCTGTGGGGTGCTGAAGGACTCCTCCTCTCCGAAGGGGAGTCTGCAGTCCGCCTGCATCAAGTCTGTGGGCAGGAAGGACGGAGGCCCACAGGACCCGTTACCGATGTGCAAAGTGATGTTGACGTTGAACTGGGGGCTGGTGGTCACGGGGCTCACGATCTGCGGGCTGGTGGGCTGAGAGGAGGGCTGTGTGGGGACGCTGGGCGGGGGAAGGACGGGCTCCACGTTGGACACTAAAGTCTGGGGCTCCGACAGCACAGAGGGTGGACTGTCAAGAGCCAGAGTGGGCTGTAACGGGCCGATGGACTCGTGGCTGCTGTAGCCGTCTGTTCCGGTTAGAGTTTCAGTATTGCTGCTGCTCTGGCTGTGGTCACTGCTGGCTTCCCCTTTCTCCAGCAGACACTGTTGTTCTGGTGCCTCAGCTGTGAACGAAGTCACCTGAGATTCCCCCAAATAGCTCTGACTGATCTGCAGCAGAAGCAAATGGAAAGTTAAGTATTTTATACAGCCACAAACACACTCATGTGCCATCACATGCAATCTAATACAACAGCTCCACCTGCTTTAAAATGCCTGTAATGTTCAGTTTTATAGCATCATAGAGGTGGAAATTCAGCTGTTCTATGTTGCACTGGAATGCATCAGAGAGGCTCGTCGGCGTTTCCCTCCCCTCTGTCCAAGACCTTCTCAGCAGGACACTGAACATTGTCAGGAACTCCTCCACCCTCCCCATGAACCGTCTGAACTGCTGCCATCAGCCAAACGTTTCCGGAGCGTTAGAGGAAGAACCTCCAGCTTCATGCCTCCAGCTGTCAGAACGCTGAGCTGCTGATCCAGAGATGCAAACACTTGTTTATTTAAAATGCTTTAAGTTACTGGATCCTGCAGAAACGCTCTCATCCTGCCTGTACTGCTGTGGATGTACAGCACCATGACAATAAACTGGATTTGATTTTGATTATTTTCAAGTGTGAATGTCAAACAGCCCGTCCTCAGCCGACCGTCGTCCAGCGTCACAACAAACTGAACACACCAAACTCTGTGAACTGCAGCAGGTTGTAGAGGTGTACCTTCTAAAGCGTGCACTCAGTCACAGTGACAAAAAGCCAAACCTCACCTTATCAGCACTCTCACAGTTTCCATTTGCATCTACTTTAGGATGTAATCTCGCATTTCCTGGGAAAAAAGGAACAGCAGATATTCAGACAGTGAGGTAGTGAAAATGCAACACAAGCTGATAAAAATGCTGAGAAACAATGGCCTCGATCATTCTGTGTTTTAACGTGAAGATAAATGTAGTGCAGTTACAAACAGAATATAACTGATGCACTGCTTTTACAGGATGAACTTACCCTTTTTCCGGATCTGTATGCAAAGGAACACCAGCACGAGGACGATTAGAAGCACAAGGAATCCAGTGACGCCAGCGATGACTGCAGCTACCAGAGGAACAAACACACACACAAGTCAGAAGAGGCAAGAGAGAGACATCTTGAAACACTTCAGTTTCTTTATGACGACGGCTCAGAGGCACTGAGCTAGCAGCTACTGTACCCAGCGCTCTGCCAGACTCTGCGGTCGGTTGCAGGCTTTTTGTTGCAGAGCTGAAATCTCCTTCTGAAGTCGAAGCAGAGACAGACTCTGTGGAGTCTTGTAGTCTACGTGGAGCCGTCGATTCCTCTGCGGCTGTGCTCGTCGTCGTACTTGTGGTTGTGAGCACAGGTTCAGGCTGTTTGGTGGAAGTCTGCTGATCGCACACAGTGTCTGAGACAGAGGTGCCTTTCTGAACAACCCTCCCGTAACAGCTGGAAAGAACAAAAGGAGACATCAGGGGTCTGAGTTCCTGATGGCTGGATGTAAACGTGACTCTCCTCCACGTACCTGGTGTGAGGCCGGCAGCGATCAGTGTAGGAGGCCGAGTTGGAGAAGGTCCCACTGGGACACGATTCACACTTCACATCTGAGTTCACTGTGCCTGACAACAACACACAACACTTCATCAGCACATTTCACTTTTATTTAACACGGTTCTGATTAAGTTTTACACATTGGTGGTTGATACGAGGGTTCCTCACTGATATGGGAGACACCATGCTATTAGCTGTATGACATAGTTACTGCAGAAATGTGTACACATATATTTATAAGTACAGGTAGATTGACAGCTAGTATTGACCTGTACACTGGGGTTCATGCAATTAACACTTTAACTGTTTTCTGTTTGCAATAATTGTGGGGAGGTGAGACAATCTCATGCATAAAGTCCGTACCTGGCGTAGACACTCCATAACCAGCTTGGCATGACTTGTACTGCCGACATTCGGTGCAGTGCGGGTCATCAAACCCCATGATGCAGAACTTCCCAGACTGGCATGCACAGATGGACCTCGTGGTTGTGGAGCATTCCTGGCTGTTCTTCAAACCTTTGTCTGGTCAAACACAATAAAGACGTTAATGTGATGAATATGGAATAAGAACGTGGAGATGTGCGGTTCAGGTACTGACGTGGTCTGCATTTGGCGCAGGTGAAGCAGTTTGGTGCGTAGTTCCAGGCCTCCATGTACTGGCCCGTATTACATGGCTGACACACGCTGTCAGAAGTCGCCGTGCATTCTTCTGTCAGTCGCTGTCCTGTAGTAACATCCAGCTGAGTTAATATACCGTCACTCATATAATAAAGTGTCCACCCTACATTTTATGTGCATTTTATGACAGCACAGGGGCATCTCCACAACTTCTAATCATAAAACCTTAAATTTCACAATATTACTCATGGTTTGACTTCATCGTCATGGTTAGAATATAATTATATTCCAACCATTCCAAAATAAAATGCATGAGCTGCTTATAAGAGGTTGTGGTTATGGCATTAAACACACACTAAACAACACACTGGCTGCTCGCCGCACTCACTCAATAGACAAGTGGGATGTAAAACAATTAACTCCACACCGCGTGGGAGAGATGAGATTAGCAGGCACATGAGATCAAGTTATTGCTTCAGGAGAGCAGAGCTGCTGAAAAAGCTTCCAACAAGTCAAACTGCTGCATCCCTGCTCTTCACCACCCAGATGCCTGTTCCAGCAGCGGCACTATTCAAAGCCAAGAACACGACGTCGTGCGGAAGCTGCAGCTCGGCCTTTCATCCCTCGAGTGAAATAAACAAACAAAAAACAGGAAATTCTTGTGTGAAATCCACAATGGAAGTGTAGAAAGACAGAAGTTAAGCAGTGATGGAGCAATGCAGCGGCTGCTTTCTGAGCCGTTCTGCAGTCTGTAGTGTGACTGAATGTCTGATCTGCAACGCCAACCAGTGCACTCCCACTGAACCAACAAGCAGCCTAATGACCCGTTCATTTCAGGGTTATAGGTTTAAATATTGTGTCATGCTGCCTCACTGTGTACCTATGACAGCACCATCACCCTTTAAGCTTTCTCTCCTCTTCCATATGAAGTGAACCATGTTCTGCACTTTGAACTTTCACGTACATGAGCTATGTGGCCGAACAGAATCAGGTTAAAACTAAATAATCAGGTAAAATGTGACGTACCATTATAAATAAATGGTGGCGTTACAGAGACAGCCTTGTTCAAAATAATATCCTCCAGAAATCAGGAAACACTTTTGTGGCAGCGACAACAACAAAAATCATTATAATTTGTTTCAGTGGAAAATAAATGAAAAGCTGACGAGTCACACTCCTGACTCATATGTCTCAATATAACCAAACATACTGTTTCTGTATATCATGCAGACGTCCTCCTCAGCTGGCAGTAATGGCGACCATGTTTAGCCTCATCTTTAGCTCTAAATAATGCACTGTAATGATGCGCCTGTTTACCATCCTTTTAAAGGATTAATGTCTTCAAACAAGTCACCAGGAAACGATAAATGAGCCGAAACAGCCCATCCAACCAGCTCATGGATCAAACAGTGGCTAATTAACTACAGCTGATAAATCTGCCAGTAGCTTCTGTATAATCTCACACAGGAAGGAGACAAACTGAAGCCTCCCAGTGCCGTGATCCAGTGCTTCTGTTCTGGCTCGGTTTGGGTTCACCTGTCCCCTCAGGGTGAGGGGTCACTGTGAATCAATACCAAGTCCTTCTGAGTGATCACCTTTATCCTGTGATGGAACATTTCTGTCGCTTCCCAGATGACAACACGAGTAAAAATGAAAACGTGTGCAGTCAGCTGATCTCCATCCATAAACCCTGTGAGGTGGTGGAGAGCGAGGCTCTGTATCCAGGGAAACACTCGGGGTTTGAGCTTGAGCTCGCTTTTCTCTTTTCTTTTTTCTTTAAAAAAAAAAAAACGTTATCTTTTTGACCGTTAAGCCTTTAGTGCAGGGGTTCTCAAAGTGGGGGTTGGGACCCCCATGGGGGTCCTAAGATAATTTCAGGGGGTCACCAGACCATTGTTAAAAAAATTTTTAAAAAAGCCTTCATTTATCAAATAAATGTGTATCAGGGCTGTCAGAATTAAAAGTGTGCCGTCGCTGTAGCTCAGCTGGTTGAGCTGGTGACCCACGTACAGGGCTACAGTCCCCGATGCAGCGGCCGTGGGTTTGAATCCCGCTCATGGCCCTTTGCTGCAGGTCCTTCCCCCATTCTTCTCCCCCACTTCCTGTCTCTCTCTCTCAACTGTCCTATACAATAAAGGCAAAAAATAAATAACTTAAAAAAAGAAATTAAAAGTGTAGACTTCTCCCACTGCTTGATCAGACTTGTTAATGTTATGATTAGATTATGTGATATTATTATTCTTTTTTGCTCTTTTTTAAATTATTTTTTATTTGTTTTGACATTTTTTTCCCTTTCATTTGTTCAAAATAAGTTCAAGTCATTCATTCATTCATTCAAAAGAAAATGAGCGTGCTAATGTAAAGAGATCAATCTGTGGAATTAACACGTTCATTTTTAACTCATTAATGCCTGAACAACAAAGTTATGACTCCTGATATATTAATAATTCAAACTGGGGGATCACGAACACAAACTGATGTCATCTTGGGGGTCGTGGCTCTAAAAGTTTGGGAACCGCTGGTTTATTGTACAGGGTTGGTAGATATATGGTATGTGGAGTTTAAAATGTTGAATAGTTTCAGCCTGTGGGGGCACGTAAAGATTAGACAGCTGAGGTCTGAGACGTTTTTAGGATGTAGAGCTGCCAACAGAACCAAACAGTTTGCATGTTGACGGAGATGCAGCATAATGTGATGCAGAACCCTTTTCTGCTCATACACAACAAAAAGCTGACATCAGCCTCCCTGGAGCATCAGCCCAGCTCTGCTTTAACGCTCCTAAAGTGAACGATGTACACACTCGTACGTACTCACTTTGTGTTTCTCAGGAAGTAACAAGTAAACATCAGGCTATGATTGTTTTTAGCTACAGTAAGCGTGTGTTCCTGTTTTTTCACACCTCCACGCCCAAACTCTTACCACCATGTCCTGAGACCTGCATCAGCACGTGTCACCTCTACCTCCAGCCTGAGCACCGGCAGGAGACCACTAATGGAAATGTTAAGAATGACAGTCCATGCTGTGTTTGCAGAAGAGCACGTACCAGGGGGGCACTTCCTGCAGCACAGGTTCAGTCCATCGTGAAGGTACTCTGTTGTTTTGTTGCGACAGTTTCCATCTGAGTCCGCCTGGTAGGGCTGAGAGCAGACCTACGGGAAAGAGACACAGCGCTTCAGAGCAACTCATACTCTGATGCTCACACGCACACAGTGGGGAACATAAAAGGCCTTCGTCGGTACCCTCTGACACAGTGCCGGCTGTGCAGGTAAATTTAGTGATTTTGAAATTAGTTGGGTGGAAAGTATATGCAGCCCACTTTTGCATGTGCCAGACGTTCTTCCTGGAAAGAGCTCAAACTTTAGCCAACTGCTCAGTGGGCCAGTAATCTGAAAACTGACAGTTTAGTCACTGGCTGAAGAAAAGAGTTGACCAATGACTGGTTACCTTCATCACTGTTAGATAGGAGCTTAAAGTAGTACCAGCCCACCCACACCTGCACCTACGTTTCCCCTTTCTGCTGCAGAAATGGTCCAACATGCAGCCATTAGTAGGAGGAGGTGCACATCATCTCATCGTTCTAATTGTGCGCCGCAAACATGCATCAGTGCTGTAATTCATACCAAACCTCTCCCTCTCACATTCTATACATAACATATTAACATTTTCTGTCTGTAATGTCATAATATGAGCAGGAAACACGGCGTCTGTGTGCCGACAGAGTCCTGTAGCAGCAGCACTTCTCACACCTGTCCTGTGCAGAAGCCTTGAAGGTGCTTCACCACACTACCTCCAATGACAAGCAGAAGTCTGAATGTGCTGACTACAGAAGTGTGTTTCTCGTATTACAGGAAACGGAGGCGGCAGCCTAGAAGCCCTCGGTTCCTAAGTACCGGCTTCATGTGTGGTATGACCACCAAGAGCACAGGGACTGAACACGATCTGTGAAACCTCATGGCATAAATTACTGGCAGTTCATCAGGGCGAACACTCTGTTATTTCCTCTTTGCCTTGGCTGCATGCCTGTACTAACCCGTGTTCTTCTCCAGAAATGCACAGCGATAACAGAGGACAATAGGAGGAGTTGCTGTTTCATTCCAACAGCGAGACATTCAGTGTGAAACTGCATGAGATGCCAAGTAACCGAAACCAAATATTCATACGTGTTTATCACACCATAGCCTCTGAATTAAATTTCCACAGGAACAGCTACTGTACACGTTCACGCCGAGAGCACAAGTGATACTGATGAAAAGGAGTTTAAAGCTTGTTTCATCAGAAAATAAGAAGCTTCTGTTGGCTTTAGGTCCAAATGAGACAACACAGAAATGCATTTTAAAAATAAATTGATTTACATGTTTATGACATAAATCTAAGTTTCCTGAGTTAATTCAGAAAACAGATTTTTAGCAGCTGACACTGTGTTCAGATAACGTTGGTTATCAGCTGGATCCCGACCCGCTGACGTCCAGCGTGTACGGTTAAACAAACATCATGACAGAGCTGATGACAGACACAAAGCCTACCTTGATGGTTTGGGCATGTAGCAGAACCAGCAGCACCAGGACGTCCTTCATTGCTTCTTTAAAGCAAATTATCGAGGAGAGGATAGAGCAGCCGGCGTGTGCACTGTACTGTTCATTTTCTAAAGGCGGGTCAAGAGTCTGCAAGCAGGAGCTGTTTCCTTGAACTGAGTCAAGTATTTGGAGGAAGGAAACGAGCTGACTGTAACTCACATTCACTGATCTGATGTGAAAAACCATAATGAGGTTAGCCGGAGCTGGTTTAGGGTAAAGACAGCTGCCGCTTCCACACAAACACATGAGATCTCTGCTGTACATGTGTGGCACAAAAAAACCACCGTAAAGCATGTGTGTGACCTGTGACTGAGCAGGAAAGATTCAACCCTTTCATTTTACATTTTAGATGTTATTTTATGCTGCTGGTTTTCCAGAGAAGTGTTTCTGATTCAACAGCTGAACACTTTTTGATGTAAAAGTAAACCACACCTCCATGGACGTGAAATACAACAAACATGTTTGCAGAATTATCCGCCCCTTCATCAGGGCTCACCTAAATCATCATTAACTCATTTGGAGTGCAGTAAACACTTACAGGAGTCATTTAAATCCAGCGATCAGGTCCTGCTGCTGGTATTCACATCACCAGCCAGAGCTTCGTTATGAATGAACGTCAGTAGCACAAAGGCTGAAGCCAATGAAACCACATGAAAATGATGCTTTTTTTTTTTTAGAGCTGCTGCTGTTGTTTCATTTTTTGGCAGGAAAAGAAAAAAAAAGGAGAAAAAAATGTCTCGACCAAACAGGAAGCACTCAGATTGTTGTTTATAGACAGCAGGCCGTCTCATGGAGCCCCGCTCAGCTGTAGGAGTTATCGATTTATTTACCACAAAGTTGGAGAACATTGGCCTAATTCACAGCAGAACTGATGTGAGCTGCTGGATCTCTGTGATGTGGCAGGAGGCTGGAGCTCAGGTGTTTTTGTTGGACTTTGGGATGTCAGATCAGGGTGACTGAAGTCCTCTGACAGCGTCTCTATGGCGGCCTCTCTCCTCTTTAGCCCCGGCTGACTGATTCACCCAAAACACATCTTCAACCACAACACTGTACGTATTTACATGTTGCCCACTTGATTACCCCCGTGCCTCGCTCTTTGCTCTCGTGTGAGCCGTTGACATTTCACCATGAAGTTCCCCCTCCCACATCCTCAACACGTCTCTGGTGCTCAGCGCAGCAGCAGCCCTGATGTCCATCACAGTCTTATTATGGTCTGTCCATGTTAAACGACTTCTGCTAACCTGAGCTGGTTTTAAACTTCACACCTGTTGGATGTCACAGCGTGAACTGTGACCGGTAGACGAGAAGCTAAAGTCTATAATTTATAAGGCGCTGATGTGTTCCAGCACTGATTTTGTTTCTGCACCAGTGAGTAATTTCCAGAAGTACACATCGATGGTTGATGACAGACCTGAAGCCAGTCTGAGTCACGAGTAAACATCTTATTTCTGATGTAGCTGTTATATCGCTTGCAGTGCAGATGTTTCATATAAAATAAATGCGAGTGTTAACGTGCAGTCACAGCGATGATGGCAGATCTCTTATCAGTCAGTTTCGGATCCTGTTCATCTCCATGGCAACCAATGGCTGCCACATGTAGAAAAAGACATTTTCATGCTGAGCGATGCTGCAGCGATGCTCTGACTAATGGCTGAGCTAAACAACATTTAGCTTCTATGTTCCTCAGAAAATATTAATTTTCTGAAAGTTGCAGCATCTGATCTGGTTCAGAGCCTTCAGGACTGGATGGGAGTTTTTTTGTTTGTGTTTTTTAAAGAAAAGTCTTTTTAATTAAAATGTGCAGATGATGAATAACGGGCCTTCTGCACCAGGACTGAATGGGCAGCAGCAGCTGCTTTTCTGTAACTGTTGGTACTGAAATCATTGCAGTATCACAAAACCGCATCTCACACAGAGGTTCGCTCTCACATCACAGCATCGTGGCTCTGAGATGACTATCAGCCGTCTGCCAGATAAACGCTGACGCCGTGCTTTGAATCAAACGTTTCTGATAAAGATCTTCAAAGTGCTGCTGCTTCATCACAACGCGAACAAAGAATTCATCAGCGTTTTCCTCCTGAACTTGAATAAAAGCTACTGATACCACCGTTTCCTTCACCTCGTCTCTGTGGATTCTCATGAACCAGCTCTGATCTCTTCTATGTATATGAGCCAGTGTATTTAAATACGGGGGCCTGCTGGAAACACGACACTGTCAGAGGTGGGATTGCAGCAGTAGGTGACATTAAATATAGGCTGTGGTGGTTTCCTGTCAGCAGCAGCTCGTGTACACCGTCCTCTGCCTTCGACTGTGTTCTCGGTGTCACAGCAAAGAAAAGTCAGAGGAAGTTAAAAACAGAAGTACGAGAGAGTCTGAGGGCCAAACAGCTGGAAAGGGAAACACAAAGTGCTGCCTAAGGTTCAAAATGACTTCCTTAGTTTTGCAATTTACAAAGTGAATCCTATTTTCGACGTAGACGTTCCCCTTCTTCTGTGGCGTAACGCTGATGTCTTGCTTCACATCCACAAGAGTCACATGTGGAGTCTAAATCTGGATGTAAAATGTTTTATTTATGCACGTGAACACATATACAGCATAAAGTGCAGGTTTTCATTCAGTAACTCATTCTTGAAAACTAATTATGCTACAATTCAAAGCGTCTCCTGAGGATGAGGCCCTTTGGAGGCACTCAGCATCTCTGGTCACATCAGTTTGTGTGCTTCAAAAAATCTTGTGAAAAAAAAAACCCCCAGACATTTGTCAGCATCCTGGTTGAGACGCGCTTCTTAGTTTTCTTTTTGTTGAGAAGTGTTGAAATTTGTGACGAGTCAAACGAGACACATCTGAGATCTGGTCAGAGGTACGGCTCCCCGACACTCTGGGCGCCGGCAGATCCTGAAAAATATTAAAACCAAAACTTTCATCAGTGCCTGGATGACGATCTGTTAGTCTGGTGTGAGGCAGCATCTGATTGTTACTCGCTTGTACATCTGGAGGCTAACGAGCTCTTCATATCTGAACAGTTTGAATTTTACACCTCTAGGTTTATGT